CCCCTTCGACTCGGAATGCGCTGAAGCAGAATCGCAAGTGGGCACGCATGCACAGGCCTGGAGTCCATCCACAGTTGCTTTACCCTCGGTTGTACTGAAGCCAGCGCGTTTCCGTCCCTGTGAGTGGCACCTAGGTTTGCGTAATTGTGGACACTCGGGGCGAATACTAATGGAGACGGGGGACGACGGCCCCGGGCTGGAAACCGAGGCCCTTTCCTGACCTCTACAGGCCATTTGGGGGAAGGAGGGAGCCGCCTCCGGGAGGTGACAGAGCGGCGGGCCCCGCGGACCAGGGGGCGGAGGGAGACTTCCCCCGGATGCTTCCCGGCGGCTCTGAGCGTGCCGCACACAGGTGAGCCCTACTCCCCTGCAGCTCTGCTCTCTCTGGTTCATAGGTTACTGGGGCAACGGGTGGGAGGTCATTCTCCGGAGGCCTCTGGAATGAAAATTCAGATCTCCACCATGCAGCACACACTGAACAAAGGCCCACCACGTCCCGGGCAGAGAGCTGGCCCCCAGGATATGATGGTGAACCAAAGCATCTCTGCTCCCCAAGAATGGACCGTCGGGGGGTGGGGGACGGGACAGAAAAGTCCACAGGCAAGACCATGCAACAAAACATATGATAGGGTTCCTACGAGATGCTATGCAGACTCAGCATCAAATCATGGAGGCGGACCTGGAGGAGTATCCACCTTCCCACCCACGATGAATGGAATTACAAACTCAAGTGGGAGCCAGCCAGCAAAAGAGTGGCTGCGACAGGAAGGGCCCGAGCGACAGGAAGGGCTGAGCGTCAGGTTCCATTTGCACTTTATCTTGAGGACCCCCCCGGGAGGCCACCGAGCAGCAGAAACAGAAACAGATTTTTATTCCACACATTACCTGCCAGTACGGGGAAGAAAGGGCTGGAAAAAAAAGGCAAAAACAAACGGCGAGGAGGGCAGCAGGGGGACCGCTGCTGAGATCCAGGGGAGGAGTGAACCAAGACGACGCGGCGGACGGGTCTGAAGCAAAGCTCAGAACGAGGCGTGAGGAGATGGGTGGGCTCGCCTGAGAGGTGGCTGGTTAACTGCCTGCCTCGATCAGACGCTGGACGGTGCGTCGGGCTCACAGAGAGGCCAGGCCCCGTGCACTTCCGTTCGGATGATCAGGCGTAGGAGTGTGGAGGCAGAGACTCCGGGTGGGAGGATTTAATGAGGATCCGACCTTGAACCTGTGGGGTTTGCAGGTGGGCTGTAAGGCACACGCGCTCTTGCGCAGGGATGTTCGGTTGCTTCTGTTTGGCTCAAGGACTGGAAACCACATTACGTCCCCCTAGAGGCCGGGAACTGCTCTGTGTCCTCTAAACGCCCTTGCGAACCAGTGAAGAGACACTTTCCCGTGGAGCGCAGGCTCGGGTGCCAGACAGTCTGTGTTAAACTCCTGGTCCTGGCATCTCCTCGCTGCATAACGTCAGGTGAGCCCTGCCTCCCACACGCCTCGGCATCCTCACCTACGGCGGGGGCACAGGAGGGCTTACCCTAGGGTGGCTGGGTTGTGAGGCCCCAGCGTGGCAACATGTGCAAGGGGCTGGGACTCGAGTACATGGTACTGCTTACCTTTGGCACAGTTTTCCTCCTCACCTGAGCAGGTGTAAAACACACGTGCAGATGGCCGGCTCCTGTCACGGGCTGGTGAAAGGGTCTGCCCTGAAGGCCTCCATTGTCTCTGCGTGGCAGTATGGCATGCTGTCACCACCCAGCTACCCCTGCCTGGTGCGCCTGGTGATACACCTTCCCTCCCCCGCTTTCTTTTTCCTGCTTAAAGACCTGGACCTACTGTGTGTGCGCGTATGTGTGTGTGCGTGTTGGGGAACTCAAGCTCAGTGTCCACTCCACTGTGCTGGAGTGTGTGTAGCCGATGATTGTAAGTTAGATACAATTGTATTTTTTTGTTTTTAGTATTATGCACTGCAATGTTGTAATACAATCCTTTTTGTCTAAAAAAATTGTTTTACCCACCCCTTTTTTCTACACAACGCATTTCTATCAAGAACCAGTGGGGCACCCGTGAGGCCCCACCGGCACGCAGACCGAAGAGAACGGCTGCTGGGAGGACGGCGGCAGACCCCAGGCCCCATGAACCATGCTCCCCGAGAATGCACTCAGGGCACACTCAGACGACCGTCTGCACGCCTCTCCAAGTCTGGGGGCTTCAGGGGGCTGGAGCGGGCTGTCCCGCAGGGCAAAGGGGGTCCACCGCCCTGATACACACGGGGGGTCCCGACCCACCGCACAGGCGTCCTGAGTCCCCTGTGAGGATGACAGAGGCCAGCCACCTCGGGAGGCCCCTTCTCCTGGCACAGGCTCCCCTGGGAACCTGCGATCAGCACTGCAGCTCCGTGAGCCGGGCGGGAGGAGGGAAGCCGCGCCTGAAAGCTTCCCTGAGTGGGAGAGAGGGCTGCGGCCCGGCTGCGTCGGCAACCTGCCACACCAGCTGGAAGCTCCAGCATTGGGCTATTTCCAACAGCTCCTTGTGGCTCGGACCCTTGCACTGGAAGCCCTGAAGAAGCTGAGATGGACGGACGGACGGACGGAGCCCTGGGATCTCATGGACAGGACTGCAGGAGGCTGGCAGCATGCACATGGGCACAGGCCTGTTCTCGCCGAGAGGAGCCCACGGCCCAGAGCTCTGAGGGGGCTGCTGCAGCCACGGGAGACCCTCCCACATTCTGTCCCTCCATTCTCACCGCTGTGCCTGGATGTCTGCACGGTGCAGGCAAGGGCCACGCCACCCCGCTCCTCCTGGTCAGGCTCGCCTCACCCGGGGATGCTCTTCCGTGGCAACCACCGGCTCGGGAGGCTGGGCTGTCCTTACGCTGGGCGTCCCCGACGGAGACCCACTGCCCTTCTGCCACACACTGAGGGATGTGCGGTGGAACGTGGAGGGAGTTCATGGAGATACACGGGTTTTCATTAAGACACTGGATGTCCAGGTTGGAGGCTGGGAAGAGGATGCCCTTCTGAGCACCTCCCAGGTGCCACAGGGCGGGGACAGAGAGAGAGAGAGAACAGCAGGTCGGGGAGTCCACCGCAGAGCTCGCTGTGGACTGGCCGTGGGGGAGGGGCGGTACACAGCACGCCAAGCAAGCTGTGAGCGGCGGGCACGCTGCAAAGGGGAGGTACACGCAGTGCAGTGGGGGGCACACGAGGGAGACGAGAGACCTGGGCTGGGCGACCAGAAAAGGCCGTACAGGAGGAGGGTGATACTTGAGCTGGGTCCCGCCACCCCCAAACGACGGAGTGGGAGAGGCCTGTCAGGCACAGGGGAAAAGGCGTGATGGCGTGAAAAATCAGGAGGACACTGGGGCTCAGGAACGGCATGTGTGTGCGCGTGTGCCACGCGTGTTCACGGGCATGACGAGATGAAGTGAGGCCACGACCCACGGGAGACTGAAGAGGCGGGGGGAGGGCAGAACTCGCGTCTGCCGAGGGGGCCGGGGCCGACTGTGAGGGGATCCACAGAGAGACAGAGACTGGCTCCCGCCGGGAATGGGGGGCCCGGTGTCTGGCCCCTGGGGCGTGTCAGGACCCGTCAGCCGGTCCCACCCTTATGGGGTCGAGGAAGCGTGGATCTCCGTGGATCACAAGAAGACGTGTGCTTCTTCACACGCGTCGGGGCGTTTCAGGGGTCACAAGGCCACCTCCCCACCTTGCCCCGAGTCAAAGGAGGCACCCAAGGCTGCCCCAGGGCGCCGCGGGCCCCTCTGTCCCCTGGTCCTGTCACACACAGCGCCAGACACGGGCTGGGACAGGACGGCCCTGCACGTGGCCCGGCCCCGGCGTCCCGCCCCTGGACGCTCGTCCCCTCGGCACACTGCGAACCACACCTGCCTCCCACGACGGCCGACGGCTTCCTGAAAGTCCCGCGCCATTTCATTTGGCTCTGAGATCGGTAGAACCCGTTTTTCAGAGCACTTCACCACAGTGTGGGCTGGCCACCAGGAGACGTGTCTGGCGGGGCCGGAAGAGCCGCTCCCAGGACTCCCTGGAGCTGACTTGCGTGGGGGCCCCCCCACACCCAGACCTGAGACTGACGAGGTGTGACACGGAATGGCCTTCCACCCGGAGGGAAAGGACGGGGGTCTCTCCCCTCTCCCTCCCTGCTGTTCCTTCCAAGAAAGGCCCTCTCAGCTGACCTGGGCTCAGCTGCCAGGTCCCCCGGCTCACTCAGGACACCTTTCCTTTATCCACTTCTCTCCCTGATGCGCCTGTGGCTTTGGGGAGTCCTCTCCACCTGGACACCTGGTTGGCCCCCGATATTCAACATGACCTTGGACCACGCTCATCTCTCATCTCAGCACAAGCCCGCTGCCCTTCAGACAGGGCAGCGGCACACCCACGTTAGTCCTCAGGCCGATGCACAGCCAGCGCGGCGAGGGCGCCCACCGGCCGTAAACAACTGGGCACTGGTGCTGACGTAAGTCTGCTGACCTCGGGCCTGGTCTCCCCAGCACCGTCAGAGTCAAGTCCGGCCTTGTCATCGAGGCACGTCAAACGCTGCCGGATCACATCGATGTCCGTCTTCTCCCTTTCAACGCCTGTCACTCTCCTCCTTTCCCCACTCGCAAATGCATCCTTTAAACCAATCACACGAAATGTTTATTCCCAGCTCTAACCTCATCACAGGGCACTGGCACAGATTTGCACAGATTCTCTCCAGTTCCTCTTTACACATGCTTCCAGAATCACCTGACTCATCACGTTCTCTCGGGAAGCTTCCCCCCATTAGGTCGGCTGACCCTGTGTCGTCCTCCGGCCGGCTCCGCGGTGGCCGGAGCTGCTGTACTGGAGTAAAACCTTTCGTTGTGCCTCTCCCACTGAACTGTGCGCAACCTGAGGACACAAGGTGGGTCTTTTCTCTCTGCGTCTTCAGAGCTTAGTAACATGCATGACACACGGTAAGGGCATAATATTTATTTGTCACATAGATGGACCAATAAATAGTCCACATTCCAGGCTTTTGCTGACCGTGCCACCTAGATATGTACCTGTGCCGGTCACTTCCCCTCAGAAATATACGAGAGAACTAGAAGGTAACACCACAAACTAATTGGAGCTGAGGCTCGAACCGGTGATCATGAATTAGCATTATGTCTGTCCCTCTCAGAATTCACACTTTTAACAATATTATCTCCTTGATTTTATGAGTCCGTGAAAAAAACAGAAGCATTATGCTATCTTCTGTGTAAGAGTGGAAATAATGTATATGGGATAAGTTAAGGGATGCCGTCAGCTTGGATTTGAACTGTGTTATTTCCCTTAAGCCTCTTACGTATGCTACAGAAATCTGAACGCTTTAATAACACAGAGGCCGGATGTGTGACTTCTAAACTACAGCAAAGAAATCCAGAAGAGAGCTGGAAAAAGAAGGCACTACCCACGGTGACAGCAGTAACAACGCACATCACGGCACCCACGCCTCGCTCCTGGGTGCTGGGTCTAAATCGTGACCACCTTTTGCTCTGCGAAGTCTGTGTGGAAAAGAATATGATTACAAAGTAGCCAGCTCCTATGCCTACGGAAACCAGAACAAAATCCGGACACGGGGTTGCCGAGAACAGTCTCACGTGGGCTGGCTTCCTGCACCGACCGACACTGCCGTGGGACGGGGGATGTCTGACGGGGGAGAAACCGCGTGGCTGCTAGTCCAGTGGCTGCAGACCTGGGGCGCGCCGTGAACCTCGGGGCTACGAGGCGGCTCTTCTTCCCTGTCCTGGGCCCTCCTCTTCTTCCTCACCCTCGTCTTCGTGGGAGGCCCACTCCCGGATCTGCCGGTCCAGCTCAGAGGCACTCCCCTCCTGGTCTGAGCTGCTGTCTGGACCGTAATCGATCTCCTCCGCGCATGGGGGCTCGTCGTCCAGTTCCGACGTGATGCTGCCGCTCCTGCATCTGCCGCGGGTCCCCGTGATACACGGACAAGCAAGAGAGGAGGAGGAGAAGGAAGGGAAGGAAACAGGAAGGAGACATACAGAGGGGAGGGAACACAGAAAAGGGACACGGAGAGAGGAAGAGGAAATGAGAAGTTACCCAGAGGAAGGAACAGTGAAAGGGAGCTAGAGAGGAGAGGGGGCTGTCTTCTCTGAGCGCGGAACTCGAGAGTCCCGGCTCCTGTAGCCACGCGGCACGCACGGCGCCCTGTTCTCGAGCGCTACCTTGAACAGAGGAAGGAAATCACACACAGAATCGATCGGGGCTTCCTTCTTTCTCTGCCAGCCGAGTCTGCACGTCTGAGTCCAATCGGGAGGTCTGCGGTCACGAGATGTGGGCACATCTTCAGGGTCCTGGAGGCTCAAAGCGAGCGATCGGAGGCGGCCCCCATGCAGGGTCTGACGTGACCACGTCAGCCACTCCTGGGGAACGGTGGGACTGGGGCTTGGGCAGGTGGGACTCAAAAACCCCTCGTGTCTCCCACACTCACAGCACGAGGAGTCACGTTGCATAGCTTTCCTTCATCATGATGAACAGTTTACTGGAATTAGGAAATTAATCCAGGCTGACATTGAACAGCACAGCAAGCAGGGAAAGAGCATTCTCTGCTACGTTTGTCTGTGCTCCCCCCACGACCTCTCCCGCTCCTTTCAGCTTGCGCACAAAAGGAAGAAGAGCGGGATTGCTCAGCAAGAGACCTACGGGGCCCCCTGGGATCGGGCAACAGACCTTGCCCATGTCTTGTGAACAAGGCAACTTTCCTTGCAAGGGACAGTGTATCTGCCTCATTTGCACAAGGCCCCTTCTTTCCCGAACACATGCTAATCACTTCTTACTTAGGACCTAACCGATTAGGACGCACAGCATGCTGGGTTCCTACTCTGTGAGTTATAGGTGGCAAGCACTCCATAAATCAGGCCGAGTTGTTCACCCACCTGCCTCGCCATAAACAATGAAAACGGGTAATCGGCGGCGCAGATAGGCGCTAGCTCGGGAAGTGAGTCAGGGCCAGTTTCTTAATTGTCTGGTGACGGATGGGGGCTGCCTGTACGGTCTTCAGGCCCCAGACCCCAAAGGGAAGGTCTGGTGGTCCCCGCCTGAGCGGACAGGAAGGGGGAGTGGTGTGCATCTGGTTTCCACAGCACCGGCGTGCTAAACCATCGTCCTGGCCAGGCTGCCTTGTGGGGGGTCGGGAGACTGAGCCAAGGACGGTGACAGCTGCCTCTGCTGCTGCACGAGCTCAGACCGGCAGGAGCACGGCGCGCCTGTGGCCTCACCGTCGCCACGCTGGGCACGGAGCTGACCGTGCTGAGCACTGCCAAGGACCCGAGAACAAGCCCTGACTACGGGACCTCGGAGACACCCCTGTGTCTCCTGGAGAGGCCATCGTAGTCCCTCAGGAGTCGGGAACGCTCGGTAAGAAAACACAGGGTGCCGTCAGACAGCGTGTCCCCGAAACAAAGGCCCCCGGCACACGGTACGTCCACTCTGCTGTGGGCACTGAGGATGGTCAAGATGCCGTGTTGAGGGAGAACACGCATCGCGAGGTGCTGCTTCACACCTGGGCTACTGCAGTAACCAACGACCGCGGAACGTCCAAACTGGCACCGCCAACAATTGCTCTAGACCGTAATTTTTATCATATCGCTCCTAGATTCGGAAGTGGCAGTGACTCTCGTGGCCTGGGAATGCAATGGGAGCAGCGGAGGGCGGGGGGTCCCTGGGGGGTCCGGCTGGCAGGAGCACCTGAGCCAGCAAGAGCCCAGTCCTTCCCAGCCCTGCCTTTCCCCTGCGGTGGAGTTGGTGGCACTCGCTCGTGGACTTGAACCTGCCCCACGACAGACACGTTGTCAGGCTGTTCCTGGGATCATTCCAACACAACAGGCTACGTTTTTTCTAAGCCTTCATTCACGTAACTGATTTTCTCTATCTAAAATGATCTTCCAACTCTTCAGCACGCGCCGAAACGAGGCCTATTTTCTTTGAAAGCTCGTCTTAATTTCAACCAAAGGACTGTCTGGATACCTTCATGTCTTACTGGAATTTTCTTCCTCTAAATAGTAATCTTCACATAGTCCCTTAATTTGTTTTGATCCTAAGAAATGTTTATACGCATTGTGAATAATGCCCATGCTTCTGTCTGATTTGTATTCCCAGGATCTTACAGAACACCTAGGACGTGCTGAGAACAGAACAGACCTACAATGAATGGTTGCCAAATTGAATATTTAACAGGTATGTACACAGGACAATCTATATTTTGGTGCATCTTGTGAGAAATTAATTTTTTGATATCATTTTCAAAGGTTTTATATATGAATTAAACCATAATTGTCATGTTAGTGCATTTTGGAGATTTAATCAAATATGTTTTCCTTTATCACTAAGGTAATAAATAGAGGTAATGTACAATATAATGTATAAAATATGATATGTAATAAATATATAGAATATAACTGTATAATGTTATAAAATTACATGCTATATATGTTATGTGGACACATGTGTGTATATGCTCCTATGTGTATGTGTGCATATATGTACTGCTACTATGATATATACATGTATATATGTATACTCATATCTTTATACAGAGCCATGCGCCATATAACAGAATTTTGGTCAGTGACGGCACATATGTCTGATGTCTCAAAACATTATAATGAAGCTGAACACTGGCTATCAGCGGGTGACATCACAGCCACTGTAACCTCCCAGCACAACACCTGTGTGTGGTGAAGCTGCTATAAATAAGCCTTAACGTGGTCATCGGGACAAAGGAAGTAACCAGGGGCACAGCGGTATATACAGGGTGGGCCACAGTAGGTTCACAGTTGCTCGCGTGGAACACACAGTAATTAATGGATAACAGCACAAGAATAAACTGTGTTTGGCAAACTCACAAGTGCAAACCCACTCCTGCCCCACTCCGTCTGACGATAAAGACGTCACTGCACCAGCCAGTCAGAGCAGGCCCCTGTGTGCGTGCCCCAGACACAGCTGCGAGGTGTCCAAGGCAAACACTGATAGAACCGAAAGAAGAATGAAAGAACACTATGGTTACAGCTCAGGACTTCAGCGCTCCTTTCTCAACAGACGATTGAACAGCCCGACAGAAATCAGCAGCAATGCCATCAACCCACAAGCTATAACTGACGTTTATCAACGTATCCTACCCAGTGACAGCAGGGTACATAGCTTCCCAAGGTACATGGAAACTCTACCAAGACAGACCAGATCCTGAGCCATAAATGAAGCTCAACAAACTGATCAGTGAAATTGTGCGGAGTGTGTTCGCTGACCACGAAGGAATCAAGCTAAAAATCAAAAACAGTAAGACAAAAAGAGAATTCCCTCGCACTTGGAAAGTAAATAAAAAACACTTCTCAATAATTCATGAGGTCAAAGAGGGTAGCTTCCAGGAAAGTTAAAACACACACACCCCATGTACTGAATGGAAATCAAAATATAGCATCAGAATCTGCGGGACACAGAGCCATGTGGTAAGACGGACATTTACAGCAGTAAGTGATTAGCTTAGAAAAGTCTAACAATGTACAGCCTCAGCTATTCCCTCAAGGAAATAGATAAAATAAGAGAAAATCATACCAAAACAAGTAAAGGAAAGAAACCAATAAAGATAAGAGCAAAACCCAACGTAATTAAAACAGAAAAACAATAGAGAAATTCTGTGACACGAAGAGCTGAAAAGGTCTATAAAGCTGGCCGACCTCTAACAAGACATGGAAGAAACCAGGAGGGCACTGCCTACCAACGTTGGCAGTGAAACAGGCTCCGCCGCCACAGACCCTGCTGCGATCAGCACGAGGAGGGGGCACTACCAAAGACTCTGAACACACAAGTTCCACAACTTAGAGGGTACGGACCAACTCCTCAAAAAGCAAAAACTACCACAAGCCACTCAGTGTGAAAGAGAGCATTTCAGTTACCCTGTAAGTCCTAAGGAAACTGAATCCATAATTTAAAACTCTCGGAAAAGATGTCTAGGCCCAGGTATTTTCACGGGAGAATTCTACAACAGGATTAAAGGAGAATTAACACCAACTCTACACATTCTCCTCCAGGAAATAAAAGAGGGAATGCTTTCCATTCATTTTACGAGTCAAGTGTTACCTTAATCCTAAAACCAAGTGAAGACAGTAAAAATAAACTGCAGATCAATACCCCTCATGAATATAAATGTAACAATCCTTCCCAAACTACCAGCAAACTGAATTCACCATTATGCAACAACAACGATGCACCCTGACCCAGTGGAGTTAATTCCAGGGACACAAGGCTTGTCCCCTATTCACAAATCAGTCAAAGCAATCCACCAGATTAACATAATCAAATAAATTATGCAGAGAATAAATCTGGAAAAATTTGACACATATTAATAATAAAAGCTCTCAGAAAAGATAATAATAGAGGGGGCTGTCTCTGCTTGATAAAGAACACTTGAAAAAACCTACAGCTAATATTATATTTAACGGCAAAAACTGAGTGTGTTTCCCTCACGACTGGGAACAAGTCAAAAATGTCTGCTCTCAGTCCTGGCTGGCGTAGCTCAGTGGATTGAGCACGGGCTGCGAACCAAAGCATGGCAGGTTCGATTCCCAGTCAGGGCACATGCCTGGGTTGCAGGCCACGGCTCCCAGCAACCGCACATTGATGTTTCTCTCTCTCTCTCTCCCTCTCCCTTCCCTCCCTAAAAATGAATACATAAATAAAATCTTTTAAAAAATGTCTGCTCTCACCACTGCTATTACTTGGCAGAGTGCTGGGAGCTCCAGCCAGCACAGCAAGACAAGAAGGGCATGCAAAAGGCAGATAGACAGGAAAGCAAAACACAAAACTAACTCTGCCTGAGAATGTACAAGAGCAATAATAAAAAGCTAAATAAAAAACAACTCCTAGAACTATCAGTGAGGTCAATGAGGTCACGGTTACAAGATTAA